TTACCCATATCATTATAAACTCTCCAACGTTGAATCAATGAGCATGAATACATATAAAATGAGATATATTTTGCTAAAAATACTATATATATATATTTATAGTTCATGCACAAATGCGAATTAACCTTTATCAATTTTCTCTAATTATGTTCGAAATAAAGCAAAATTCGAATTCCAATTTTATTTTTATTTTTATTTTTTTATTCTATTCAATCACCAATTATACCTTCTTCGCCACTTGCAAATAGCATTACGGAAGGATCAATGATTACTGTGCAACAACAACAAGCAATGCATCAAATGATGCAATCACCAAGATTACAGCAACAGACTCAATCACCGGGATCACAACCACCACCCCAATCTCCACGATCACACCAAGTACAGTCTCTACCACAATCACCCCGATCTCATCAGTTACAACCTTTATCTCAATCACCCCAATTACAACATCCATCTCAATCACCTCAATCACAACCGCCACATATAAATTCACATGTAATTAATTCTTCAATGGAAATTGATACAGTGCAAACAACACCATCGACAATTATCCCAAAACCTATTACAGATGGTATATCAACTTCATTGAGTGGTATGCATCGACAAATTACGCCAATAGCACCAGCAAGCCAAAGTGGTCTTCCGTCGCCACTACAGCAGAATTTGTCAGTCGCAAATAAATTACAACTTTCAGGGGTAAAAATGCATACAATACCTAATTTAGGGATGAATTTACCAGAAACACCAGCATCTTTGGCACTGGCAGAACCAGAAGAAACGGATAAACATCCTTTATCAAAACGCAAAATTCAACAACTAGTTGACCAAATAGATCCAAAAGAGAGGCTAGAACCAGAAGTGGAGGATGTACGTTATTTATTTCCATTTTATTATGAACAAATGATGTTTAAGACATTAATTATTATAATTATTTTCAGATGTTATTAGAAATAGCAGATGAATTCATCACTTCTGTAAGCTCTTTTGCGTGTCTTTTGGCTAAACATCGAAAATCGGATACTCTAGAGGTTAAAGACCTTCAACTCCACTTAGGTTGGTATTTTATGAAAAATTTATAGGTTCATAAGCTTTTATAAAATTGATCAGACAAAT